CATGCCTTATCGCTGCACTTCTCTTTCACCAAAAATTTTTATCATGTAAGGACATTGGTTGCTGTTTTGTCATTCATAAATACCTTCACAGTAATCAAATTTTAATTTGGCCTCATTTTAATTTAGCGTCATCGAAAATCACATTTAATCAGGTTTCTCTGAGACAAAACGTTATTAGGACTTTCAGTTAATAAAGTAAAAACGAAATTTATATTTCAAACTTTTCTATATGATTCACAAATCTGCCTGTTCGAAATTCCTTGGTGACGTTTTTTTGCTTTAACATTGTTATAGCTTCTTACACTTTGCACCAGCGGACTTGCCGATTCTTGATTCAACGATTTCTAGCATATTTTTTTTTGACTGATTTGAGAAAAAATTCCTTATTTAATTATTTGGCACAAATCGCTTATGAGTTAGATGTCTGTGTGCCTTTTGACATCGGTATAACGAGTGAAGAGAAATTTTTTTCGCCAATCTTTCCCATGAATGACCTTATGATGCTCTTACCCATGCTTTTAGATGGTACCCTTTACCCATGTCGCTAAATCGCTTTCATGTTGGTGGCATTCTTTAAGAACATCTTAAACCAGTTGCTTATCATGTGATATGCTTTCTTTTGCGACATTTCAGATAAATTTATCACCACCACAACATAATAATTCCTTTCATCTTTATTACCAAATTTAACAATATTTAACAACAATAAATTTAACAATTGTTGTTTCTCATATTTCATAACGACAATAGAGATTTCTAACCTTTTTTCCTTGATAACTTCGGTACTTCACTATTATCGAAATAATACAAGAGCTTTTTAATTTTGATCAAGCCGATACGATGGAATGCAATGCTTCAAAAGGCAGCCTTTTAGTTTCCTATTAAGTACTGCAGCCATTCTAAGCATTAAACTGATTCTCTAGTTAGCCTTGAAGTTGTTCAAAAAACATTTGTGGCTATCAGGCTAATGCGTTTATTCTTGAAGTTCATTGGAATTCATATATATATATATCATATAATTCATATATATATAATATTAGATTTCATTCCTTTTTGAATGAAGCACTGTATTAAGCTAGAGAAATCTTTTTTTAATTCAGAGTGTTTACCCTTCATTTATAATAAAATATCAATGATTAATGATTGATGACTAAAAGGCGAGCACTATAAGAAATTGCTAAAATATTTTACGGAAAGCTCCTTGAAAAGTTCCTTGTGGACCCTCTGGAATCACCATAACCGGTTAGACTCGTTCAGTGGCTTCACTAGTGATTTTATCAGGGAATCCTGTGGCGATAGAAGAGGAGCTGGGGAGCAGGTCATTTTTGGATAGGTTTACTCTCAGCGCTCGGCGAATTTAGCAACATTACATGGAGTATTATTTCAAAAAAAATGAAAGAGAATATAGGTGAAAATTGTTGACTGTCATTAATATATTATTGAAATAATTTATCATAAAATATCGCATTGCTGTCGGAAAAAATTCCTTTAAAAATTAGTGAGCAGGAAAAGTTCTTCAAAAGAACAGCGAATAGAGTATGCTAAAAGAAGGATCGCAAAAATTATAAAATATTTAAAAATTATAATACATAAATCTAATAATAATTCAAAAATAATTTGCCATATATTGGCATAGCTGGAATACAGTTTGGAGCCTATACAAGGCAAACAATGGTTGAGCCTAAATGATTAGGCTAAATGGCAGAGTTATTGGCCTAATTGAACAGAGACTATATTGAAAAATTTTTTTATGAACGGTTTTTTGAAAAATTCTACTGAAGTGGTTGCAGAAGGGTTCTCAAACTGCAACTCGATCGAATAGTATAATATAGTGCAGTTTTATGGCTTAACAGGTTTCAAGAATGAAAAAACTGAAATATCAAAGTGATCCCTCAATTTTCCTTACATTTAATGTGATCCATATTCTATCATAAATTTTTACTTGTCATCTTTTTTTTTTTGAATTCAACCAGGTTTGAACCGAGGCAGAAAGCGCTTATTAGGATCTTCAATTTAATAAAGTATGAAGATTGAGCAAATTCTTCTATTTTTATTCTAAACTCTTCTAGTACCATATGGTCCGCATAAACTCGCGATATGAGTAACCTCTAATCTCTCTTTTAACATTAAAAAGTCCAGCAACTAATTTGTATTTGTATTTCGTCATTAGACAGCTCCCATAAAAAAGTTTCCAGTCTTACTAGCAATTAGCTCGACTAGCCTAATCCTAAAAAGAGAAATTCACTTAACTATTCACATGGCTCGTAATAATGTTTAGTAATAATGCTTATCTTGTGGTTCAATAGCTAAAAAATATCAATAACACTTAGTTATGTTTTATATAACAGTAGTGCATACAATATTATATCAATATTTTAACAATAATTGCACGCATGGCGAACTTTTCGATTTTAGGCTTTCGTAGTTTCAGGCTAATAAATCGAACTACATTGAAAATCACCCCCAAGCTATGAGAGTTGGTCTTTTTCGAAAATTCAGTTTAAGAATTTGTTATGAGATGAATTTTCAATCACTATCGATGCATCTTATGTCGATGATATAAAATATTACAATTTAGTCACAGATGATTGCACTTAAAGTTGTTAAAGTGTAAAGCGAAAATTAATGAGACCATCGCGAAGGAATCAACCTGAAAGTGCACACTAATTGACGATTTCATTGTCTTCTGCATCCTCTTGACGGTGAATCGATTTTTACGATTTTGCATACCAATTAACTTATTATGAAATGACTGAAAATTGACTACTGAGGCAAAAGATCGTTTCTAGAGTGGAACAAAGCCATAGTGCCTATGGCTAAACTGTCAATGCAATAAAAGGAAACGAGGCCTCTTTTGAGCAATATGGAATAAATCAAAACAATTGCATAATATTAAAAAAAATGTCATAGGTCAATTGCCGCTATTATTTCGCCATAAGCTTTCGATTTTCGCTATTTTGTCGCTCGATTTGAACCACGGATTGATTGTGCCTTATACTTTTACCTGATAATTGTTCCTCACTGAACCATGATGAAGAACTCCATATTAATGTGATTAACACCTTTTACAAAAGATTGATGGTACTATTGATGTAATAAGTTTTTTATTTTTCATTACATTTTCAATTCTTCATCACTACAAATTTGTTTTAAATACGTTCTTATATAATTTATATTTTTAATATAAATGATTAATATAAATGATATAATGATATATTTATTTTAAATTTAGGTAAATCAAATCGCTAAAAATTTAAAAAAAATTCCTAAATTAAATTAGAAGAATATTAGTAAATGTCAATTACATCGTCGAAAAAAATTTATTAGTTGAAAAGATACCAATTTTTAGAACTTCAGCACATTTATTGGAACATCAAAAGAATGATAATGACGACATCTTTTTTCAATAACATTATTCTTGAAGTTTATTTTTGGCATACCATCTAAAGAAATCCACGAAACACGCTAATTTGTTTTGTTTTGCTAAATTGTTTTCATTAAAAATTATAAAATTTCGGGCCTTGGCATGAGCTTGGAATTGCTATTAGGCTTCGCTTTGGCCTAGGCTTGAACAAAGCAGCCAAGGCTTGGGGTTAGGCCAATGGCCAAAGCTTAGACCGAGGCTTAGGCGAAGGCCTACATTTTTTCCGAGGCTTGGCCAAGGATTTGGCTAGGGCCAAGGATTAGGCCAAGCCTTCGGTCAAAGGTTATGATTAGACCAAGACTTAGTCCTATGCATAGGAAAGCTCTACGCTTAATCCGAGGCTTGGCCAAGGATTTGGCTAGGGCCAAGGCTTAGGCCAAGGCATATTCATGCGCTTGGACGGTTTGTGCATTATCATCGCAATAGAGAACAATGGTGAGTGAATGTGTGTCTAGGCAAGACTTTTCATAAAATAAATATGATTGAATATAATAGATCAATAAAATATATTTAATTATGGGAAATATCCGAAAAATTCGAAATTGGTTGCCCTTATAGGACAGTAATTTTCACTGAACTTTAGTAATTAGTAATACATTCTAATGAAAATGGATAAAGCACAAATTTTTCCATATCTCTGTTATACTTTCTTTTTAAGGACCATCAAGCTTTTTTTCAAGTGTCCTCACCATTACTTGTTGTACTCGCTTCGCTGGCTACATTGAATGAATATTGCAAGGAGTCCATTGACGATGGAAGTAGTGTAGATGTGAGTCACCAGCATCTCTCGAATTTTTCGAGGAGAAAAAAACCTCAATATGGTCATTCGAAACTTAGCAAAAACCACTAAGCCATTCGACCATTGTTGCAGAGTTCGGGCAAATTATTAGGGATAATGTGGAGGATAACAACCGAATTAGCTTTATGTCTTACATTTTCCAAATATTCATACGGAACTGATTTTATCTTATTTTTTTTGTTCTTTGTTTATCATATTGGTTGAGAATAGATTTCTGTTGTAATCGTTCGACCAGACTTTTTAGACGTCCCATCCGCGATCCAAAATTGTTGCTTAATTTATCCTTTGATTCTTTCCATGGCCATTTCACTCGATATCTATGATTATATTTTGTTATTCCTTTATTGAATCTTTGGTGCCTCGTCATCGTCTTCGGCATTAGGTCCTTTCTTTATTTCTATGATTTCTAAAATTTCCTATTTTTAGCCTGGAGCTTAAAGTGGCTACACAAATTGTATTAGAAATATGTATCATGCCTGCCTGTTTGATAAAGTTGATTTATCACCATTTCCCGCAATCATTGGTCAAAATTTTGTTTCAAAGTAATGAGATTCCGGATTTCGATTTTATTCAGTTCTAAAAATTTGATGAAACAATCCGCTCCATTTAAGATATCGGATCGTCTCCAATAAATTTTTAAATTCAACGTTTGATTGCCTGTCAGTATTTTAACAACATGTAATTCATCGGTCAGATATTCGATAACATTAGCGTAATTTTTTCGATAATCTTATCTTCATTAATTCGTATACTGAGCTGCGCTTGAACGGCTCTATGTCATTTAGGGTTTCTAATATCGAAAAGGGCTAATTTTAGTTCTTGTTCATCAGTTTCTGTTAAGACTAGTCGCTGAACTAGTTCCTTTAATATAAAGGATAATTGTAACCCAATGTCAAATAGGCTTCTTCCTTTTGCTAAAGATCCTTCCTTTTGTTCTGGTTATAATGGGTTAAATATAGTTATCTCCTTACACAGTAGCAAGGTTTCTTTACCATGTTTCTTAGTTACCGCATTCGTTTGAGGCATCATTGTCGGAATGTAGTTTTTTGAACAATCTTCCAATTTGTTAACTTCTTCGTTTGTCTGACTCTTATTAAGGCATTATTCGGATGTGGTTGATTATTTTTTTCACATAGGCACTATTATGAAGCCTCGCAGTAGAAACATTTTATTTTTCTTCTACATTCTTCACCTTGATGTGCCTTCAGGCAAATAGTACTTTTGTTCGTTCTCCTTAAGACGATTTAATCGAGTATTCACTGTGGGATACTTGACATTCACTATCCCAATGATTTTGATTATAAATGTACACGGTCTTTGTTTGATTTCTCTTCTCATTGGCCTAGGATAAAGAATCTTCTTTTCATTGTGAATAGTTGCTAATGCTGAGATTTCATTATAGCTTCTTGGATTCTGGTTACTCATAAGTAAGGTATGCTCCTTGTCCAAATAAATAAATTGAGAATTGATTTCTTATCTCTGTTTATTGACATTGATAAAATTCCCAAGATGCGCCTTGATATTGAATGTGCTTATCGTCTATTTTTTGGCGATATATTTTGTCAAGTATCCGCTGCATATTAGTCGGCTTTCGACTACGGTTTCGATGCTATTCTAGGTTTTCTCCTCTAATTATCAGAAAATTCTTTCTATTTTCTCTAGTGCTTCAATACATTCTTTTTCATTTCATTTGATGGATTATAGTTATATAGTGATTTAGTAATAGTCGATGAATCTCGATATTTCTTGGTCAGCGTACTAGTTCATAGTTTTTTGGGGCTAAGCCATAACTCCTTTCGGTTTGCAATGCTGTTCCTTTTAAGCAGGAAATTAAGTAGTTCAATTTTTGGATTTCTGAGATAATTTTAGAGTGAACAGCGGCATTAAAGCTGCTCCAGAATTTTTGCAAGTGCCATGGATCACTATTGAAAGTAGGCAAGGACAATTGAGGGAGATTAATATTTAGGTAAGGAATTGTCTTCGATAATTCCTTAGAAAACATTTGGACAGAACTCGAGGTTAGTGGTTAGATTAGTGTTAATTTTCTCCATTTCATTGTCCACCTACTTTAATACATGGTCTGCGCAATGATCGCTTCGTTCGCTTCATATATCAGCTTGAAGATTCCTCTTCCTACTTTCTTCTTATCACATTGAGATTTCTGTCTATATTCAATCCATTTGTCGTTCGCTGATGCGATTTGATGCACATTTGTAATCGCAAGATTTTTTCTTATTTTTTCTTCGAAGAGTCATCCTTCAGTTTCGCGCAATTGAAGTCGTTCCTTTGCTATCAAACTTGGTTCCGGAAGTTTCATATCTAATGCCTTTATTTCTTCCAGTCTCTCCTTTGCAGATTTAATACTTTTCATTATTGTGGAGATCATAATGTTGCATCACCTCAGCACCAGAAATTTTATGTCATGAAAAGTTTTGTGTACTCGTCGATGGTTTCACGAATTAATATTCGAATTTTGCAACCAGTTGAAAATTTTATTGCTATCCAGATAGCAATATAATAAAACGGCATGCGAGTAAATCTTATCTTGGCTATGATTTTACGACAACTTGATGAAGCTTACATTGCTTGTAATAATTTTCCAGATTGTTTGCCATCTGCCATTTGATATAGGAATGGTCCCATTACATTTAAGATATTTCTTCGATCTTTTAAATTTTCAAAGTTTATTTTTAAATTTGTTAATAACCTTTTAAAAATTGATACTGCTTCGCAGCTGAAAAAAAGAAGAATGTTTTGTGCAAGTTTTAGTTTTATTATTTACGCTTGTATAGAAGTTTCTGGTGTATATTGTAATTTGTCAACTACTAATTCGACATTCAGTCTACGTCAAATTATCAAATTATCACTCCCTTATATAATTTTCCATCTTTTTTATTTCTCCTATTGAAATCTAAAATTTTCATTCAATTGTTTTTTTGATGCATTTCAATTACATAAACAATAAAACTTTCAAATCTATTTTTTAAATACATTAACACAGTGACTAATGCCATTTTTTGGAGAAATTTAAATATTAATTAAATAAGTGAATATAAGCAACAAATAAAATAATAAAATGATATAAATGATATAATAAATTTCAAATAATTAAAAATAATAAATAAAGTCACTTTTGGATGAAAAATTTTATCTTAATTATTATCAGCTTAAAATAATAATTCGAATAATAATTCGAAAAATTGTTATCCGTACGCTTATAAAAAGAGAATATTCCGAATATAGTCAATCTTCTTTATGATGAATTCAGTTGTTTTATTCTATTGAAATGCAAGTTTTTAAAAAATAAAGATTTTATTGATAAAATACCGTCGATCAGGTCGAAACCTATATTTAATTAATTTATTAGTTAAAATTATAAAAGAAACTCGGAAAAAATCCGTTAATCCACTGTTCAATGTACGCATTTCAATGATGCGAGAAGTGAACAGAAAGACTCTTCTTAAAAAAAACGAATATTAATTAAATAAGTACCAAATCAATATAACCAAATGTTTTTTTTTTCAAGAGTTAGGAAATCTCTCCAAAAAAAGTTCTAGATCAACAAAATTTTTTATCATCTATCACTTTCACTATCGAATACTATCGCTTCTATCATTTATGTATCACTTATACATTCATCCTCATATCGATGATAACCATTCACACAATAACAAAAACTGTACCATGTTCCCCATTTGCAGTTTTTATTAAATTGCGCCATATTTTTTCCACAATTTTGTCCCATTATCACTATGAAATTTGCATGCGTATAGCGTTGAAGTTCCCCAGATGTTTCCTGGATAATTAGGAGTTCAGAGGAATTATTAACGATGCTACTCGCGAAATTTATCGAGTATTATTGTTTAAATCAAATTTTTTTACAATTTTTAATTTAATTATTAATTTAATTAATAATTATTATTAATTGATTAATAATTATTTAATTTTGAAAATAGAAATGAATAAACAAGCTTTTGTGATCTTGTAAAATTAACCTGTCGAGCCGTCGCCTCTAAAACGCAACGTCCTCTTAGTGCTGCATAACCGGAAATGCAGTTGCATCGCATACAGTATTTATTGTAAAGATTATAACAACGAATATACCATTGTGCGTTTGGGCCACAAAAAGACATTTTACTTTTAACATTGGCCAAAAGAAAAACTAACTGAAATCATAATTTTCGATTATTATAATTAGAAGGTTTGATATGTTTGAATAGAATTCGTGTGATTTACGAAATATTTATAAATTAAATATTTATAAAATATTTATTTATTTATAAATAGGCAATAATAGGTTTACAAGAAAAATGGTTATAGATTAAAATTTATTTCATATCAAAAATTAGAATAAATTATTGTATAAAGGTTAATTGTAAAAATAAAAACTAACAATGAAGTACCAAAGCATTTTAGAAGTTATTCACTGCAACCAGTCGCTAAAGAACGAATTTTTGAATATAACTACATTTACATATCAGTCACCATTTATTTGCATCGACTCAGTCATTTAACCATCATTGATCACGAATATCGCCATACTTATTATCATAGATTATAACACTAATCATCACTGTAATTGGCGTTGTTAATCAAAATATTAAAAAAACCAAAATAACTTTTGATTTGACTGAAAACTTTTTTGAGTTGAGAATTATTAAAAATTATTTCAAATCATTTTCAAATAAAATAAAAGTAAATTATGAATAAAAGAAACTTTAAAAAGAATTTTGAAGTCACCACAAAAATTTAGTTCTTTTTATATCAAAAGGTAATAAATAATGAAACTTTCGGAAAAAAAGTCACAGTTAATAATTTGACTTGTTGATATCAAAAAAGTTTGAACTTTTTTATAAAATAAAAAAAATTTTAAAAAAATTTTCAAATAAAGAAATGAATAAAGGTTTAAACTTTTTGTAAATTATCAAGAATTATTAAATGAGCGAAGTTTTTGACGATTTAAATTTTCTTGTAAAATAATGAATAATGAATAAAATAATGAATTTTAATAAGAAATAAATAAATAAAAAATTTAATTGTAAAAAAAAGAATGATTTGTAGAAATAATTTATATGAATTTTAGCGATTTTCGACAAAGTTTTATAGATTATTTAGATTAATTGACAATAATTGACAATGATAATTGATAAACTATATAGACTATGAATATAGTTATAGTTACACAGAATTCGATAGAATTTTCGATAATTCAAATTTGATGAAATTTCCAATAAAATATACAAAAAAAAAATTCATTTAATAACAAATAATGCGCTAGTAAAATTTTTAAAATCAATTGAAAATTCGTAGTGGAAATTCATTTAAATTTTTTCTTTAATAAATAATTTTTTAGTAATTTAAAAGTTTCCATTTTAGAAATATTCAAACGATTTCGGATGAAAAAAATATTTCTATAAAAATGGGCTCCACCTAATTAAGGCATTTAAGGCTATAGAGGCTAAAGCCGGAGGAACTAAATATTCTATTATCATTGTCAGTTGTATTTATAAAACTATAATAACAATATAGATACAAACTAAGATCAACTAAAAGCACTATAATTTAGGGGCATAATAAAAATTAGAGGAACTAAATCTGAAGATCAGTTACAAACCACGCGAACCACACTTTCTACAATTTTCTTTAAAACTGTTTAATATAAAAATTGATACTTTGTATTTAAAAACTAGCGGATATTTTATATTTCCAATATTTATGGCATAAAATAATATCATAAACTGCCTACTGAGATGGTAGTTGTATCATTAATATCTATTATAATTTTAATATTTTAACAAACAAAATTAGTCGAAATTTGAAGAAATAAATTTCAATTCTAGGCAAAATTAGCACAGTTATCCATTCATCCACTCAAATTTCTCAGTGAATAAAAAAATGAGTTGATCTAATGTAAGCTTAGATTCTGCTATCTGTAGCGTTATCAATTCCTGATAACATATTAAAAAAAAGTCGCAACAGAGCTTAATAAAATTTCGCCAATATATTACTAAAGAGTGCTTGCTGGGCTGTGGCTTTCAATTACCAAGTTTCTTTTCAATGATAATTCTGAAGCTCCAGATCCTGCTTCCTATAGTATTATTAATTTCTAATGGGGTTTTTACAATAATTTTAATAGTCTTCAATATTTCGCATTCGTGATAATATGAAATATCTCATCGAACTTTTGAGTTTACAAGGCTCGGTCAGTGCATTTGGGCCGCGAAAAAGCGCAAGAGCTATAGTTTTTATAAACATCGAAACTACCTTAGAACCATTCGTTTGGCGAGTTCATTTCAGTCAATTCACCGATAAAATATAGAAATGAACTACAAATATGATTAGGATGCATGCAAAGCATTTCCTACTGTTTCCACAGTGATATTGGATAATTTTAAATATGTAATTGTAATATAATTGCTTATCTTTCCATCTAAATGAGAGGCGATTTTGCGTAATTTGCGTGTAAAACTTTCAATAATATTTCATTTCACAGATATTTTATGTATTTCTTTGCAAAAGAAATATAAAAGATGCGAACTGTGATAGGAGAAGTTTATCGAAACGATTGATAAGAATGTATTCTATAATCAGAATTTTCAAAAAAGTGGTTTGGCATATTATAATAAATATTCATGAAAAAAATCTGATAGTTTTTCGACGAGATTATATGAATAATAAAAAGTTAATAAAAGCTGTATATTTTGTCAAATTGTTTGTCAGTTTTTACGTTAATCTTTTTTATACATTTTGAATATTATAAATTCAAAATTCAAGCATTAGTAAAAGCAAAGCAAATTTCCTCTCTTTCAATAGTGAATTGTGTAGAAACTGAATTTTATAAATTTTAACTAATGATTTCTTAACCTCTTATAATCTCGTCTTCTTCTAAAAACTCTCACCACAACTGGTTAGGCTCACTCCGCAGACTACAAAGATAAGACATCTCCAATTTATTCAGTTCACCATCGCTAATCATAATAAAAGCCATTCTTTTTTCTATCGTCTAAATCCATAAATCGTTTAAAATCTTTCCTGACTGTGTAAGTCCAGATTTTGACTGGCCTTCCTCGCTTTTAACGCCAATCATCACAAGATTCGACAAGTGGCAAATTATGCGTCAACTCCTGTGGTAGATGACGCAAAACATGTCCTAATCAGCTCTGTGATAAAGTTATCATTATTGTTGCAGGTGGTCCATTTGACTTAATGTCCACTCTCACTGGTCATGTTCCGCAACCATATAGCAAGATCGAGCGAATTGCAGCTATATGGAATTTCGTCTTTATGGTGATTTCGCGATGGTTCCATAAAAGTTTCATTTTTGGTCCCATAGGACTTTCAAGTTTCAGCCGGAAAAGTATATTTCCACATATTTCCACCTGTCGTTAGCAGGTTACAATCTCATCCTTCGCCTAGCTATTTCGGATTAGAGTGGATCAAAGCTATTTAAAATCAAGTATTTCCTCAATCGGCAATGGATTGATGAAAATAAGTATTTTATCAGCATCTTATATATAAGATGAAAACATTTTCGTTTTATTTACATTGAATTTGAGTCCATTTCTCGCTGCAGTTGCTGATACTTTATTTCCATTTCATTATAACTACCAGCAAAACGGACTACATCATCAGAATACAAAATTTGTGATGCTATGGCACGACGGGCGAATCAGTTATATCCGGGAGAACAGATGGCACATAACGATTAAAGCTTCAAAAAATTAAAATTCATTCCATGCTATGAGGCGTTAATAGGCGCCCCATTAATATTCCCGTATCATTTCACTAACCCTTTCCCCAGTTATAGTTGCTTTATAGTTTCATATTATCACCTAGTCGAGCCGCTATTCTTAAGGCTATATTGCTTTAACGATTTCTGTCCTGCTGTACTGCTATCGTTATAATTCTTCGGAGCACCCGTTAGTCGGAATCACCTACATTTGGTTATTCGTAGCTTTCTCAGACAGTTTGGATAGTTGCTTCGATACCCAACTAGTGCACTTCCTGCTAGTATATCCAAGTGTGGACTTTTATAGGCATGTTTTTAGTTAGGACCAGTATTTATTCGCTTTTCCAAAGATGTTTATTTCACTGAAATGTTTTTAATAATACGGTTTGAAATGCGCTTATTTTTGGATCTTTGAGATCGTTGAAAGATCTTGGGATACGTTGTTTCTAATGACTTTTAATTTTATACGAATTTCGACTCAAACCATAGCATGGCCTGTTCTGTGGCGATTACCACTTTCAGCGTCCCTATTAGAGCGACTATGAAGTTCAGTATTCTCCTGAAGATTTACCAATATATATTAATCTGATTCCAATATTGATTCCGGAGGGTTCCTTTTGACTAAATTTTTTCTCCTATGCCGAAAGCATGTATAAACAGAGAGTTCATGGTGTTCTCCATTGATCCCGATATCATATTTGCCAATTACCGAATTTATCGTAACAGCATTAAGCCTAGAATTTATTCGCGAGCCGAAATAAGTACTCTAAACTCATCAAGGGAGACGAGAACCTATCCGCTAATCAAGACCTAAGCCCGCATTCCAGTCTCCGCCTACTATGACCATATCACCTCTCGGTAGGATTGTTAACAGTTGAAGCTCTGTAGAACTTATCTTTATCGAGGTCACCTGGGCATAAAGTTGGAGCATATGCACTGATGACCGAAATATTGCAGTACTATCCTCTCTCAGAATGAGCATAGGTCATACGGTAATTTTCTGCTTTCCATTCAATCAGAGCAGATCGAACCTTTTCTCACATGACAATCGCTACGCTAATTCTCCCTGAGCTATCCGAGATATCACAGTGAAATAACCAAAATCTTTGCTCGGAAACAGGTTTAACAATTACTCGAGAGCTGACATGAAGAAGAAGCTCGACGAAGAAGTCATATCCACGCCGTATTTAGAAAGGGTGTGGAAATTGATCGCTTGACTTGCAACATCCATAATTATTCTGACGTTCGAAGCAGCACCTCACCGCGCTTAGAAAATGTTAGCGGATAGGTTCTCGCCCCCCTGGATGGGTTTAGAGAACTTATCTCGGTTCGCGAATAAATTCTGGGCTTACACCTTACAATTTTACTATTATTAATTATTATTATTGTTCTTATTATTTTTATTAAATTAAATATTAATTATATAAATTAAAAAGATATTTTAAAAAATGAAAATTTTGCGAAAAAGTGGCGCATGGAGGAATGGATAAGTCAGATTTGAAAGAGAAAGCACGTGATTCTCATTTTAATGATATATTTTCTTTTTATATGAGAAATCGTCCTTGAAATATCCGCAGTTAATGAAACGTGTTTTAGTGAAACGAAATTCGATGAAATCTTTTCGTAGAATTTTTAAGCTTAGAATCTTTGAGAAAAGTAAAAGTGGACGCTCAGCTGGCATA